TGCTCTCCTCCCGTGTCTACCGTGGTATTTAAGTTAGTCATGGCTTTGTCTGTCCCAGGTTTCTTTTACATCTTATGTCTGTTATTTGGTCAAGTCAAGTCTCTGAAATACATCTATGTTCGCATTTTGGCTCACCTTTATTTCCTTCGCTGCCAACCCTGAAAAGACATGCTTAATTTGTCTGCATTTTTAATTGAGTTAATCGCAGGCTTCTACTTACTTGCATTGTAAGTGAAAACCATATATCAATATTTTCAATTCACAAACTATTTTTGCTGCTAAATTATTGGATAATTAGACATGTAATCTCAAAATTAAATGTTTTGCTTTTACCTGATACTTAGGTTATTGAACCTCATTCAGTTTTCAAGCGTTTCAGGAATCCTTGATCATTCATGTAACTTTGTTGAAAAAATATTTTTTTAGAAATACAAACTGTAGATGCTGACATTTCCGTTGGACGTCTGAGTTTGCTGCAACATGTTTACTAGTAGCCAATTGTCAGTTAGTTTGTGCTTTGATGACATCTAAGTACAGATGTTGAACCTGCCATTGTTCACACAATGGAGGGCATCTGAAGATGGCATTCTCTACTTTGTGAAAACAGACCCTGTCTGGAACATTAGGTATGAAAAAAAAAAAAAGGAGGCAGTATACTTTTTATTTTGCCTACAATATATCTGACCTAGAATTTGTGAAAAAATAGGCTTTAGAAATTGGACACATGCCTTAGAAAACAATAAAGGACTTTGAAAAACAAGCATAGTTCCTCAAAAGGCAATTAATCAGCCTGTGGTGGAAATTAATTTGCATTAAAGGTACAGAGATCTGAAGCAGGTCATCATGAAAGGAAACCAAAATAGGCAAAACTGAGAAGGTGAAATTTCATTGTCTATAATTTTGTGCAAAACTATATAAAGGGCATATTTGTTTAGGCCTAACTTGATTAAAAGGAAGCACACTAGGTAACCTTTAAAAAAACTTTAGTTTCGTCTTTTGCCTCCATTTACGTCCAAATTAGCCTAGCCATAGCCTTCCTGAGTTATTCTGTTCTCTTAAAATCACAGGTCAACTCAGACATACCACAGCAAACCACACTCATATCACATTTCAACTGTGGTTATATGATACAAGTTTTATGATAGTTGGACAAAAGTAGAAGAAAACCCGAGTCTCGAATAACCCGCACACAAACTGTTTAACAGAATTCATTACCAATATGCCGACAAGAGTTACTATTTACGGAGAAGTGATACTTTAAGAAAACTTTTGGCCTCCAAGGTTTTATGAACTTGGTAAGCTGCAGCAATATTTTTGAGTTAATGAGTCCCATGGAGAATACGTGAATATAATAAAAAACCTTTGTGCTCCAAGACCAACTGCTTTGCACATCTGGAGAGGGAACAGACGACAACCACACTGTCCAATTCCTTTGAATTTTTAAAAGTGAAACCATTGCCATTTTCTGTTCATGATGTTATCATGTTTGTGTACAGCATATTTATGGATGGGAAAATTAATGAAAGGTATTTAACTCTCGACGGACATGTAGAGTTGCATAATACAGGTATCTGTATTTTGTTGTCACACTGACTGTGTATATTTTTATTGTTATTGCTAACCTGACCATTGTGTATGTTATATGGATGCATGAACACCTCCATGAGCCCATGTACATTTTCATCGCAGCTTTGCTTCTGAACTCTGTTGTTTTCAGCACCAACATCTATCCAAAACTGCTTTCAGATTTTCTATCAGAAAAACAGATTATATCTTATCCGGCTTGTTATGTGCAGTTTTTTCTCTTCTATTGTTTGGGCGCTTCAGAGTTTTCCCTGCTGGCGGCAATGGCCTATGATCGTTATGTATCTATATGCAAACCTCTGCAATATGCAACAATAATGGGAAGAACTACAGTGAGTATTTACTTGAGTTTAGCTTGGCTGGTGCCTGCTTGTCTGATTGCAGTTATGGTAGTACTGAATGTTAATGTGAAGCTCTGTAAATATAACATAAACGGAATTTTATGTAATAATTCAATCTACGGACTCCACTGTGTCGACTCGAAGGTGCAAACTGTGTTTGGTGCTGTTGTGCTGGTTTTGACTCTGTTGTTTCCTTTGATTTTTATAGTTTTTACTTACACCAGAATATTTATTATATCCTATCACAGCTCTAAAGAAGTCAGAAAGAAAGCTGCTCAGACCTGCTCGCCCCACTTGTTAGTGTTGATCAGTTTCTCCTGTTTGTGTGCGTTTGATGTCATTATAGTTCGAATGGGATCCGACCTCACCAAGGCTGTACGTTTAATAATGACTTTACAGGCAGTTTTGTATCATCCTCTATTAAACCCAGTCATATACGGTTTAAAAATGAAGGAAATATCTAAACAATTGAAAAAGTTGTTCTCTCAAGTTAAAGTAATACACTCCTAAAGTTTATTATGTCAACGTGAAATTATTTGACACATTCTTATACATTTGTATTGTTATGCAAAATAAGTAAATGTGCTATGATTTACAAAAACCTTTTTATGAAGAGCAATGTTGTCTAACTAATGTAAATTTTCTGGTTAAATTTTGCATAGCTTCTCTCTTAAGGTTGTGTTGGAAAAAACCTATGGTTTATATACACAAAAAGTGTAAAAAAACATGAACAGAAATAAAAATTTGATCCGGAGAAAGTGAGTTAAAGTTGGCCTAAAGTATAAAGTAAATTAAAGAGAAAGAACTGTAGAGTGTCTTAAAATAATTAACATTACCCGACTCTTTTGACTTTTGAATTAAAGCCATTTTTTCTTCATTAAAAACCTCTGACTATGTTGTTTTTATGTCAATGGTGTATTCCTGCTCAAGCATGATTATATATAATACATAAATTTAATTCCACTTAATACTTGACTACTGGTTCAATAAAGCTATACTGATGAAGCCTACATATTACAGGTTAACTGTGTTTTCACTGCTTTAATATCTGAGATAAGTCAGAGAAAACTGCGACAGCAGTATGTATGTATGTCCATTATGTCCATACATAATGGACATTATGTATCACGTTGGGAGTTTTTATTGTGTTTCAGATTCCGAGGCGGTGTTTGACGTAAATTTTACATGTATAAATTGTGTGCACACAGAAATGACAGGTATCTCAGGTATCAAATGCATATCAAATGCATGGTTAAAGGGCTGCTCAGGTGAACCTACAAAGAAACTTGGTACTTTCAACTTTCACTTAAAATTAATCAAATACTCAAACCAACAACTCCAGAACAGTCATGCAGACGAGTCACTAAAAGTCACTACAATGTGGTCATATTCCGTTTGACGAATGCCAGCCACTAAAGGCAGCTTGTCCTTTTCAATACAGCACTAACTTTAAATTGAATTTAGCAAAAATATCTGCATTTCGACTGATCACACAATTGCACTAATGGAAATGTTGAACAGGGGAAAATGATTGTTTTCTTTTATGGTTGATTATTATTGTTTTTTTGTTTGCTTTGCATGTAGAATGTTTTGGGGTTGTTGCTTTTCTTTTTCCTTTTCCCCTTTTGACAATCCAAACACCCTGGACTGAAGGTGGTTGTCTCGGGAGGCGGGGCGCACTAATTGGCCACCCAGACAGGTGTCAGCAGAGGCTGATTAGAGCCAAAATAAAAGGAGCTTGGCTGGGAAGAAGACAGAGAACTGGTTCTGCAGCCACGGGAACTGACACGCTGTGGGGAGCAGACGGAGCCCGCTCATCCGGCACAAGCGATCGAGAGTTGGACAGACGGCCCAGTACAGAGAATCAGGGCAGAGGGTAACCTCTGCCCGCGCCTGTAAGTAAAGTTTCTTTCTGGTCGAGCTGATCCTGCAGAGAGCTGGCAAAAGCACGTCTTCCGACGGAGTTCTGGTGCGGGGATGCTGGCGCTTTCCTGTTCTTTCCTTCTAGTTGGACCGAAACGTAAGGGGGCGTGGCATGCCGAGGAGTGGAGCGGTGGTGGAGCGCTGTGCGGCCGGCTGTAGTGCGCGCTACACATAGATCACCGCCACGAACAAGAAAATAAGCGGAGCCCAACCTGTGGCCTTCAACGGGTGACCTTTTTTTTTATGGAACATTGGATTTTATAAAGAACAGTTTTTATTGTGCCACTACTTGTGACTCTTTTGATTAAAATACCTTGCACCTGACTGCTCCGCTGTTTGGGTTTTTCGAGTTGTTTGCTCCCCCTTGTGTTGAAGACGGACTGTGGGCCAATTTGGCCTAACAGAAACAAGCTAATTTTGACAAAACTCACAAATTTTGACATAAAGCTGTCGCTTAGGATCAGGTTTTTTTTTTTCAGCCATCTTGAAACAGATGTATTTAGCAAACCTACAATGGACACACTTTTTTTGCATCACATTTGTCTTGTAATCAACAGCTGCATGTTACTGCCGGCCATGTTTTATGCGTCAATCGTATTGAAGAAGAGGTTCCTACTCTTTCCTTTACCCCAACTCCATTACATGATCACAGCAATGCTTCATTCACCATGTTGTCCTTTCATACTATTTACATCTGTCGTGACCAACTCTCCGCTTCATCAATTTTGATTAAATTGATTTACTTTTTAATATGTGAAAATAGTTTGAAGAAATGAAACGTAGTTTTTAAGTTTATGCTGCAAACCTCAATCTGACCCTGGCTATTATTTGTAGAATGTCACTTAGATTGAAGTACGACACGTCAAAAGAAATAATAGTTCCAAGAGAAGAGATTTAATATTAGACGTAAGTGTCACCGCCCTGTTAGAAGGAAACTTTGTGGGAGTTTTTAATGAGTTCCATTGTGACCAAAGGAATAAAATAGAAAATGTCAACGCCCTACGTGCAGCTGCTTTCTTGCTGTTGGGAAGAAACAATCAATACATTTGTTTGAATCTCCAGGTCAGGTTCCTTGTTATTGTGAAGGAGGAGCTATTGCTACTCTTTGTTTGAGCTGTTTGTGATAATATTATGTTTTTGTGAAACATATTTATGGGTGGTGAAGTTAATGAAACATATATAACCCTTGAAGGACATGTAGAGTTGGACAAATACAGGCATATTTTTTTTGCAGTCATGCTAGCAGCGTATGTTTGTATTGTCGTCTCTAACCTGACCATTGTGTATCTCATATGGACGCACAGAAACCTCCATGAGCCCATGTACATTTTCATCGCCGCTTTGCTTCTGAACTCTCTTGTTTTCAGCACCAACATCTATCCAAAACTACTTTCGGATTTTCTATCTGAGAAACAGACTGTATTGTATTCAGCTTGTTATTTTCAGTTTTTTCTCTTTTATTCTCTTAGCGGCTCAGAGTTTTTACTGCTGGCAGCTATGGCCTACGATCGTTATGTGTCTATATGTAAACCTTTACAATACGCAACAATAATGGGGAGGAGCACGGTTAGTATTTTCCTGAGTTTGGCTTGGCTGGTGCCTGCCAGTGTGACCGGTGTGCAGGTGGTACTCAGTTCCAACATTAAACTGTGTACATTGAATTTGGATGGGATCTTGTGTAACAATTCAATTTACAAAATGTACTGTGTAAGCTCAAAGGTGCACATTGTGTTTGGGGCTCTCTCTGTGGCTTTCACTGCTATTTTTCCCCTGATTTTCATAGTTTTTAGTTACACCAGAATATTGATCATATCCTATCGCAGCTGTAAAGAAGTCAGAAAGAAAGCTGCTCAGACCTGCTTGCCCCACTTGTTAGTGTTGATCAGTTTCTCTTGTTTGTGTGCGTTTGATGTCATCATAGTCCGACTGGGATCTGACCTTACAAAGTTAATACGTTTAATAATGACTTTACAGACAGTTTTGTATCATCCTCTATTAAACCCAGTCATATACGGTTTAAAAATGAAGGAAATATCTAAACAATTGAAAAGGTTGTTCTCTCAAGCTAAAGTAATACACTCCTAAAGTTTATTATGTCAACGTGAAATTATTTGACACATTCTTATACATTTGTATTGTTATGCAAAATAAGTAAATGTGCTATGATTTACAAAAACCTTTTTATGAAGAGCAATGTTGTCTAACTAATGTAAATTTTCTGGTTAAATTTTGCATAGCTTCTTTCTTAAGTTTGTGTTGGGAAAAAAAAACCTATGGTTGAAATACACAAAAGTGTAAAAACATGAACATAAATAAAAATCTGATCCGGAGAAAGTGAGTTAAAGTTGGCCTAAAGTATAAAGTAAATTAAAGAGAAAGAACTGTAGAGTGTCTTAAAATAATTAACATTACCAGACTCTTTTGACTTTTGAATTAAAGCCATTTTTTCTTCATTAAAAACCTCTAACTATGTTGTTTTTATGTCAATGATGTATTCCTGCTCAAGCATGATTATATATAATACATAAATTTAATTCCACTTAATACTTGACTACTGGTTCAATAAAGCTATACTGATGAAGCCTACATATTACAGGTTAACTGTGTTTTCACTGCTTTAATATCTGAGATAAGTCAGAGAAAACTGCGACAGCAGTATGTATGTATGTCCATTATGTCCATACATAATGGACATTATGTATCACGTTGGGAGTTTTTATTGTGTTTCAGATTCCGAGGCGGTGTTTGACGTAAATTTTACATGTATAAATCGTGTGCACACAGAAATGACAGGTATCTCAGGTATCAAATGCATATCAAATGCATGGTTAAAGGGCTGCTCAGGTGAACCTACAAAGAAACTTGGTACTTTCAACTTTCACTTAAAATTAATCAAATACTCAAACCAACAACTCCAGAACAGTCATGCAGACGAGTCACTAAAAGTCACTACAATGTGGTCATATTCCGTTTGACGAATGCCAGCCACTAAAGGCAGCTTGTCCTTTTCAATACAGCACTAACTTTAAATTGAATTTAGCAAAAATATCTGCATTTTGACTGATCACACAATTGCACTAATGGAACAAGCTAATTTTGACAAAACTCACAAATTTTGACATAAAGCTGTCGCTTAGGATCAGGTTTTTTTTTTCAGCCATCTTGAAACAGATGTATTTAGCAAACCTACAATGGACACACTTTTTTTGCATCACATTTGTCTTGTAATCAACAGCTGCATGTTACTGCCGGCCATGTTTTATGCGTCAATCGTATTGAAGAAGAGGTTCCTACTCTTTCCTTTACCCCAACTCCATTACATAATCACAGCAATGCTTCATTCACCATGTTGTCCTTTCATACTATTTACATCTGTCGTGACCAACTCTCTGCTTCATCAATTTTGATTAAATTGATTTACTTTTTAATATGTGAAAATAGTTTGAAGAAATGAAACGTAATTTTTAAGTTTATGTTGCAAACCTCAATCTGACCCTGGCTTTTATTTGTAGAATGTCACTTAGATTGAGGTACGACACGTCGAAAGAAACAATAGTTCCCAAGAGAAGAGATTTAATATTAGACGTAAGTGTCACCGCCCTGTTAGAAGGAAACTTTGTGGGAGTTTTTAATGAGTTCCATTGTGACCAAAGGAATAAAATAGAAAATGTCAACGCCCTACGTGCAGCTGCTTTCTTGCTGTTGGGAAGAAACAATCAATACATTTGTTTAAATCTCCAGGTCAGGTTCCTTGTTATTGTGAAGGAGGAGCTATTGCTACTCTTTGTTTGAGCTATTTGTGATAATATTATGTCTTTGTGAAACATATTTATGGGTGGTGAAGTTAATGAAACATATATAACCCTTGAAGGACATGTAGAGTTGGACAAATACAGATATATTTATTTTGCAGTCATGCTGGCAGCGTATGTTTGAATATTGATCATATCCTATCGCAGCTCTAAAGAAGTCAGAAAGAAAGCTGCTCAGACCTGCTCGCCCCACTTGTTAGTGTTGATCAGTTTCTTCTGTTTGTGTGCGTTTGATGTCATCATAGTCCGACTGGGATCTGACCTTACAAAGTAAATACATTTAATAATGACACTACAGGCAGTTTTGTATCATCCTCTATTAAACCCAGTAATATATGGTTTAAAAATGAAGGAGATATTAAAACAACTGAAAAGGTTATTTCATCAAACTAAAGCTCAATAGTGACAGAGTTGATGTATTGATCTTAGACTACAATCTGACACTTATTGTTAGTATTCCTAACTTTTTTTAAGTTAATATCAAAATTTTAAGATGTACATGTGTACTTTAAGTGAAGTATATGTGAATTTTCCAAAAGGCTGACAAAAACAACAGTAACATACATTTGTTTAACCAGAGAATCTTGAAGACCATCAATCTCATGTTGAACTTTTTATGATTCGCTCAAGTTCCTAATATTATGCTTTTGGTCTTTGAATTAAACAAACATTAACCAAATTTGGTTGATGTTGGATTCTTGCTCCAGAACACATGTACATGTAGCTGTGCACAAACTTGGAAATGGTAAATGGACCGAACTTGTATAGCTCATTTCCAGTCATTTTGACCACTCAAAGAACTTTACACTAGAGTCACATTCACCCATTCACACACACATTCATACACCAATACGCAGACCAGTAGGCAATTTAGGGTTAAATGCCTTGCTCAGAGGCACATCGACATATGGCAGGAGGAAGCTGGAATGGAACCTAAAACCTTCCGATTGCAAGACGACAACTCTGCCACACAGCCACAGTCGCCCCTGTCATCTTAAGCCCGATAAAGTGACAAAACGATAAAAAGTAAGACAAAAGCAATCAGTGGAAGTCGGTTTGGAACATACATGAAGTTTAAATGATAACATCCTCAACGGTATGGACATTAACGTCTACCACAATGATTCATGGTGCAGTCCCCGACCCCTAACAACATAGTTCACTAAACATAAGAAGGCGTTTAAAAAGGTCAACCACACAATGGACTTCTTAATTTTATGATGACCCAATATGAACACACACAAAAAAATCTTGTTGAAATAAAGGCCTAATTTCCAGAGTATTCTCAGTTGAACTGGGTAAACCAGTCCCACGCTATGAATAGTGTGTTCGATTTAGGCCAGAGAATTCAAATTTACTTATTAGAAAACACATAAGTAACATTTCTTTAAGTCTGCTTTATCTTAGATGTTGTGAGTTTGAATTATTTAAATTGGCTAATTAATGCAAGACAGTTGAAGAACTGGAACAGCATTGAAGGCCTCCAGAGGTATGATCCTTGTAGGATAAAGCAAACTGATAAAAATGTTTGCGCAAACTGAGACCATGAAGTCTGTAGTCTTGTGTTTGTGCAAGGCCTCTTAGCAATTTGTCTAACCGAATGAACATCGGAAAACATTTATGGACGAGGTAAATATTACCTACATAACGCTAACTGGTTATGTAGAAATGAACAAACTGAAGTATTTGTATTTTACTGTGATTTTGATGGTTTATATTTTAACATTCTTCAGTAATGGAACTATCGTTTATATTATCTGTTTTCACAAAAACCTCCATGAACCGATGTACATCTTCATTGCTGCTTTGCTATTTAACTCTTTTGTTTACACCACAAACGTTTACCCAAAGCTTATGATCGACTTTTTATCTGAAAGGCAGATCATAAACTATTCTGCCTGCATTTTCCAGTTGTTTGTCTTTTATTCTGTAGCTTGTTCTGAATTCTTCCTGTTAGCACTCATGGCTTTTGACAGATACGTGTCAATATGTAAACCTCTAAGGTATCCGACTATCATGAGAAAACCTACGGTGACATCTCTCCTGGTTCTGGCCTGGGTTGTGCCCTCCTGCTACCTTACAGGAGAAGCAATACTGATCAGTGAACTTCAATTATGTCGTTCAGATTTGGATGGAATATTCTGTAACAATGGCATTTTTGCTCTTCACTGTGCAAAATCCAGACCACTTACAATATTTGGGATTGTTTCATTGATAAGTCTTGTAATGATTCCTGTGCTGTTCACAATTTTTACATATGCAAAGATTTTAATTACCTGTTATAAAAGTTCAAAAGCATTTAGAAGAAAGGCTGCTGAGACGTGTGTGCCGCATCTGCTGGTTTTAATCAACTTCACCTATTTGTCTACATACGATGTGGTCATAGCTCGAGTGGAGTCAGATTTTCCTAAATCCGCTCGCTTCATCATGACTATGCAGTTACTCGTTTTTCAACCTTTGTTTAATCCATTTATATATGGCTTAAAAATGAAAGAAATCTCTAAACATTTAAAAAAGTTGCTCTCTTTGTCCAAGATCTAAGAATTATGTAATTATGTGAATGTAACATCTCTGCCTGTGATTATTTCTGAAATGAAATTCTTCTTTTTTGTTGTTGTAAATATAAGAAATGTTTTACCTTAAGACATTTGAAATTCAATAAACTTGTATATAATTGTATCATAGCTGTTGTTGTGATGTTTTCTTGCTTTTTGTTTTGGTAAATTAATATTTTATAACAATTTTCCACAATTTTTGCTCTAAAAATGACAGAATATATATATGTAAGTGCACAGCATCAGGGTCCTTGTCGTGCAGGTCGTACTGAGCTCCAATATTAAACTCTGCACATCAAAATTTCAAGGAGATTTTTTTTGCAACAACAGAATTTCACTGTTTACATTCAGAGGTGCACATATTATTTGGTGCCGTGGCACTGGTTATGATTTTATTCTTCCCTCTGATTTTCACAGTTTTTAGTTACACCAGAATATTGATCATATCCTATCGCAGCTCTAAAGAAGTCAGAAAGAAAGCTGCTCAGACCTGCTCACTTGTTAGTGTTGATCAATTTCTCCTGTTTGTGTGCGTTTGATGTCATCATAGTCCGACTGGGATCTGACCTTACAAAGTAAATACATTTAATAATGACACTACAGGCAGTTTTGTATCATCCTCTATTAAACCCAGTAATATATGGTTTAAAAATGAAGGAGATATTAAAACAACTGAAAAGGTTATTTCATCAAACTAAAGCTCAATAGTGACAGAGTTGATGTATTGATCTTAGACTACAATCTGACACTTATTGTTAGTATTCCTAACTTTTTTTAAGTTAATATCAAAATTTTAAGATGTACATGTGTACTTTAAGTGAAGTATATGTGAATTTTCCAAAAGGCTGACAAAAACAACAGTAACATACATTTGTTTAACCAGAGAATCTTGAAGACCATCAATCTCATGTTGAACGTATTTATAATTCGCCCAAGAGCCTAATATTATGCTTTTGGTCTTTGAATTAAACAAACATTAACCAAATTTGGTTGATGTTGGATTCTTGCTCCAGAACAGTTTTGAATACATGTAGCTGTGCACAAACTTGGAAAGTCATCGTAAGCCCGATAAAGTGTCAAAACGATAAAAAGTAAGACAAAAGCAATCAGTGGAAGTCGGTTTGGAACATACATGAAGTTTAAATGATAACATCCTCAACGGTATCGACATCAACGTCTACTACAATAATTCATGGTGCAGTCCCCGACCCCTAACAACATAGTTCACTAAACATAAGAAGGCATTTAAAAAGGTCAACCTCACAATGGACTTCTTAATTTTATGATGACCCAATATGAACACACACAAAAATAAATTTTGTTGAAATAAAGGCCTAATTTCCAGAGTATTCTCAGTTGAACTGGGTAAACCAGTCCCACGCTATGAATAGTGTGTTCGATTTAGGCCAGAGAATTCAAATTTACTTATTAGAAAACACATAAGTAACATTTCTTTAAGTCTGCTTTATCTTAGATGTTGTGAGTTTGAATTATTTAAATTGGCTAATTAATGCAAGACAGTTGAAGAACTGGAACAGCATTGAAGGCCTCCAGAGGTATGATCCTTGTAGGATAAAGCAAACTGATAAAAATGTTTGTGCAAACTGAGACCATGCAGTCTGTAGTCTTGTGTTTGTAAAAGTCTTATTAGCAATTTGTCTAACCGAATGAACATCGGAAAACATTTATGGACGAGGTAAATATTACCTACATAACGCTAACTGGTTATGTAGAAATGAACAAGCTGAAGTATTTGTATTTTACTGTGATTTTGATGGTTTATATTTTAACATTCTTCAGTAATGGAACTATCGTTTATATTATCTGTTTTCACAAAAACCTCCATGAACCGATGTACATCTTCATTGCTGCTTTGCTATTTAACTCTTTTGTTTACAGCACGACTGTTTACCCAAAGCTTATGATCGACTTTTTATCTGAAAGGCAGATCATAAACTATTCTGCCTGCATTTTTCAGTTGTTTATTTTTTATTCTGTAGCTGGTACTGAATTCTTCCTGTTAGCAGTCATGGCTCTTGACAGATACGTGTCAATATGTAAACCTCTCAGGTATCCGACTATCATGAGAAAACCTACGGTGACATCTCTCCTGGTTCTGGCCTGGGTTGTGCCCTCCTGTTACCTTGAAGGAGAAGCAATACTGATCAGCAAAGTTCAATTATGTCGTTTAGATTTGGATGGAATATTCTGTAACAATGACATTTTTGCCCTTCACTGTGCAAAATCCAGACCACTTACAATATTTGGGATTGTTTCATTGATAAGTCTTGTAATGATTCCTGTGCTGTTCACAATTTTTACATACGCAAAGATTTTAATTACCTGTTATAAAAGTTCAAAAGCATTTAGAAGAAAGGCTGCTGAGACGTGTGTGCCGCATCTGCTGGTTTTAATCAACTTCACCTATTTGTCTACATACGAAGTGGTCATAGCTCGAGTGGAGTCAGATTTTTCTAAATCTGCTCGCTTCATCATGACAATGCAGTTACTCGTGTTTCAACCTTTGTTTAATCCTTTTATATATGGCTTAAAAATGAAGGAAATTTCTAAACGTTTAAAAATTTTGCTCTCTTTCTACAAACTCTAAGAATTACGTATCTCTGCGAATGTAGCTTATTATTTCTGAGGTGAAATCCTACTTTTTTTTTGTAAATATAAGAAATGTTTTACATTAAGACATTTGAAATGCAGTAAACTTGTATGTAATTGTATCAAAGCTGTTGTTGTGATGTTTTCTTGCCTTTGTTTTGGTAAATTTATTTTCCACAACTTTTGCTCTAAAAATGACAGAACATATGTAAGTGAACAGCAGCAGCTTGCTGTGCAGGCCATACTGAGCTCCAATATCAAACTCAGCATCTCAAATTGTCAAGGAGTGTTTTGCAACAACTGATATAATATTGATCACAAAACACTATTTATAAAAAATATCAACTTTTTCCTACACAATCCTAACAAACGTTTTTAATGGTGAAAAAAATAAAGGGTTTCTCTTCACAATATTTAGTAATTTATTTATTAATCTATTTGTATGATTTGTCCTTTAAATTGCCTTTTATATTATTTTTCGGTTTCAGGAAATGATTGAGGGATGAAGATACTGATGTCTGGTTCTCTAGGTTCTGACAGGTCTGCGGTTCCTCTCCTGATCCATTCTGTCTGATATCAAACTAGGCCACTGAATACCACCGACATGTTTTTTAATGCCCCTATTAAACGCCACTGTGATTTTTTTTAGCCGGGAATGTTCGTCTTCCCTCTACTGTGTATTTTCGCCAGAGATTTTGCTTCTCAGGATGGTGTGTAGTATATCGGGTGGACATTTTGAAAAGTTCATAGCAGCTCACCGCAGCTGCGCAGTGTCCGTCTCTAAGTTGTCATGACAACAGCGTCAGTTACTCGGGTTGGGGGTTGACGGCTCCTATTGAGGTCAATTTAGCTGACTTTAATATTTTGTAATAATGTTTTTGTCATTATTATTACACTTGTTGTTGAGATGTGTGTGATAGGTGTGTCTATCAAACATTTCAAGCAATACGGAATAAATCGCGTCAATAAGGGGCAGAGACAACGACAACCAGCTGTCATTTTAGGCTAGCTTAAGCTAACCTGAATATTTACAACTCTCTTGTTGAAACACTGACATTACTTACCGTCTGTCTTTCACCCACTTTGAAAAGCTTTTCCTCGTCTCTCCAACATCTTCATTCCTCCTCCTCTTCCATTTTCTGTTTTGTACCCCAGAGTTTTTTTTCTGCCGAGCCATTTTTAGCTCCCTGTTGTCGAAAAAAAAAAAACCCGCGTTCTAAAAGGGGCGCGTGCCCAGGCTAGAGGACCGGAGGAGCTAGCGGCTAGCCGCTAGCCTAATCAGTGCTGTTCCTCTGTTGTTGATTATTTCATACACAAACAGCTACATAACATACTGACTAGTGCAGCAGTGTGCCTGCTGTGCAGGTAGTACTGAGCTACAATATGAGGCTCTGTATATCAATTTTTTTGTTGGCTGTCAAAGTAAAAATGGAAATTGTATGTTCGGCCTCAGTTATCGAGAAATGCCTGCCTGCTAGAAACGCTCGACTAAACAACAGAGAGGATGTCATGCCTTCATCATGTCACACATGATGATGGATGCCTCATCATGTGTGACATAATCATGACATAATAATTATGTACAAATTGAGGTAAAGTGCAATTAGGTCAACAAGCAGATTGTTGACCTAAGATTGTTGTCAACAAGCTAGCCTTCTTGACAATTGTCTTCGTCAGTGCACACAGGCAAAAAGATGAATTGGAATTGTATTTGAAATTGAGCTTCAATTCTGCTGTTAAACCCAATTTCTGTTAAAAAAGAATGTAATAAACAATATCCAAGTAATTGTTTTTTGGAAATGTAGTAGATGAATGTGTATTCATACCCCAAGACCATTTACAGTTGAAGCCAAATTTATTCACACAGTCATTCAGGTTCAAAATCACTTTTTAATTTTGTCAACGTGAGTTTTCTGACTAGTTAATATTGACGTTACAGAGCGGTCCAGCCAAAGCATAAGGGCTAATGGAGTAAAATGGAGGGGTGTAAAGATTAGGGCGATGCCAACAAGGACTTCCAATCTTTTGATGCTCATCACCAAACAAATGGTTTAAAATCTGCAAATAAAATTCTGTTATAATTGATGCTTTCATTGTTTTGCATTGTCCAATTAGATTTTTTTCTGTTGCGTCCCTGCCCATTCTACCACAATGCTCAGATATCTGTACCTGGATGTGTCTTATGATTGTGTACAATTCCATTAAAACTTAGGAAATTTCTTGCATTTGTTTTGATGTCGTGACATACCGGACATTTAACACACAAAGGAATGAAATCCAGCCTTAGTCCCAAGATGCACCTGAAGTGTCCACTTCCACAGTGGACACACCCAGGTAAAAAAAGGACATTTGATTACCCTTTTGTTATGCTAAAAAATCTTAGCATTTGTCAATAATGACTCACTGGTGGAAGTGAGAGCGTTGCACAACACAAATTATCATCCGACCAGAAGACAGTGGGCTAAATAGTGCAACATAACAAAGCTCGGGGAATTTTAAGATACTCTAATCACTAGGTGAATAATTATTCAGATGATAATGTAGTGCATCACATTTACTGTAAGGAGTGTGGGAAGACAATTTTGAATTGAAACTCTGAAAAACCTCAGTGCCTCTAAAACACGACATGAACCAACTCTATCTTTGATTTAAAAAAAAAAAAATTCTACAGGTTGGCATGAATTAAATGTCACACTCAAATATGATGAATTGCTTATATTAAATATCCCGTGTTGTGTATGTTTCTAAGTCAGATTTTTTGTCAACTATCACACGCCGACGGTGTGTAATGGTTGACGGTTTATGTCTGGCTGGCTGACGCTGAGTGCTTGACGTGTAGAAAAATTATACCTCAGTGCAGGACGTCCTCAAGCGACGAGATCCTGCGAGGAATGAAGAGATAAATAATGAAAGCAAGTCGACTCACCAACAGTTTAAGTCGAGGTAAAGAAGAGAAAACGTCGTTTTCGAGCTCTGGACTGAATATTTCTGTTTAAACTGAATAATTGAGAGACAAACACATTGATGGATGAGTTCAATGAGACGCTCATAACTCTGACTGGATACGTGGAGATGAATAAATACAGATACCTTTATTTTTTTGTTTTTTTTACAGTGTATGTTTTGATCATCTGCAGTAACGGTACCATTGTGTATCTCATCTGGACTCACAAAAACCTCCACGAGCCGATGTACATCTTCATCGGTGCTTTATTGTTCAACAGCGTCATTTACAGCTCCACTTTTTACCCGAAGCTGTTGACAGACTTCCTCTCTGACAAACAGGTCATTCCGTACTCTGGTTGTATTTTTCAATATTTTGTGTTTTATTCCGTAGGTGGATCAGAGTTCTTACTGTTGGCGGTCATGGCTTTTGATAGATACGTGTCGATATGCAAACCTCTGAGATATCCAACCATCATGAGGAAAACTACGGTGAAACATCTCCTGGTTTTTGCTTGGCTTTTCCCTTCCCTTCATGTTGTCTTGCAAGCAGCACTGAGTACTAAATCTAAGATATGTGACCACAATTTGGAAGCAATATTTTGCAACAACACTATTTACGCACTTCAGTGCATGAGATCAAGGACAGTGACTATAATCGGGGTTGTTATTTTATTCGATGTCGCGGTGCTCCCGGTGCTTTTCACAGTTTTTACATATGCAAAGATTTTTATAATGGCTTATCAAAGTAATACAACATCTAAGAGAAAGGCGGCTAAGACCTGCGTTCCACACTTGTTGGTTTTGATCAGTTTCTCATATCTGTGCGTGTATGATGTAATCTTAGCTCGAGTGGAGTCGCATCTTCCAAAAGCTGCACGCTTTGTGATGATGCTGCAGTTGTTTCTGTATCATCCGCTGCTTAATCCCATAATATACGGGCTCAAAATGAAGGAAATTTCTAAGCATCTGAAAACGTTGTTTTGTTCTACCAAAGTCTAGCTGGGCTTTTGTTGAATTGTTTTCACATTTTCACCAATGCTGTTTGTCTTATATTAGTAACTGGAGAGTACTGCGTGAAGGCAGTGGCTCCCAAAGTGTTTGTTTTGTTGCAACCTGAAGTGTGAAATAAACTTCAGTGGCGTTTGAAAACAAAATATGTGTTTAGGTTTATGTCTGGATCAACAATGTGTGTGTTGATTTTTTTTTTCTTTTGTGGTCGGGATTTTATTGTAATTCGTAGGGGGACCCAAGAAGAAAATCTTCGGGAATCACTGCATTAAGGTCTGGAAGCAAACCGGCCCATGTGTGTCTTTTTTTTTTTTCTCTCAGTTTGTGTTTCTTTGTATACTAGTTTGATTTGCTCTAGGTGGGATATTTGCTAAGTTCACTACTGGATACTTTTCTTATGCTGTGATTGATATCAATTATTACCTTGTATGGTTACAGAGATAAATAAAGCTGAACCTTTCCACCAGGCTTTTTTCAGAGCATTCAGTAAAAGCTAAATTATGACAGCATGACTAGAAATTTGGACGCCAGAGAATTCACCGGTAGGGTTTTCTTTTTTGCCTCCCGCTCCCCCCCAAAAAAATAAAATAAAAATAATTGAAGAGACAGTGCTGAACCACAGGCTCCGTTAGAGCCGCTAACGTGAGGGGCTGACTGTTAGCTGTGGCTCTGTGACACAAACATAAAACCCTCCAGTAAGTAAATACTAAAAGGAAAAGACATGCAAACCTTTTACTTACATTCACTGTTCGATAGGAAGAAACAAATTAACAAAAAAGATCAGACTTTGGCTGGATCATAATAAGTTGCTTTATTTAACAAAACTCCTACACAGTTTTTCATAGATTTAAGCTTTTTGTGTCAAAGGTAGCAAAACATCTCATTCATATTTAGCTCTTTAACTTTTAGTTAATTAGAAGAGTTTGAAACGGGGTTAGGATTAGGGTTAGGGCCGAGCAAGTCTACCCAACTCAGAGTCTGGGAGCCGAGAACAGAAAGCTGCCTTTATTTCTCACTGTCTTCAATGCAGAGCCTTTAAAGCCACAAAATAAATGTGAATATTTTTCTATATAAGCCCTGGTGCTGTAAATGTTACATTTAAATGATGATACTCCTCAGATATTCATCTCTATCTACCTGTTGGTTCTCAGTCACCCAGGACAAAATAAGTGGCTTAAAAATAAAGGGACTTAACAAGTTATAATTTAAACAGCACATGACTTGTATTGGGAGCCATTTCAATAGATCACTGTTTATGAGGAATTTTATTAAGGAGTTACTCAAAGCTTTTTTATTTAGAACCTTAAAGTTTTGTAAAGTGCAATAGAGATTAGATCAGTGAAAAATACTGATATAGAAGCAACATTTTAATTTTAGGTTTTATTTTTCAATAGTTTGCTTACTAAGAAAAACACATTTGATGTGCATTACTAGTCATTTTGGTCCTGCAGCTTGAATGTGGTTTTAAAACTTTTTAAATCTCATTTTACTTTACATTTCACTGTAACGATCCCCCCAAAATCAGTCTTAAGAAACCTTCCTGTTTATGGTCCCCCCCGCCCTCGATAATGAGATGGGTGACTTGGGTGACTCTATAAGGGTCATGACCCCACTGAAAAGCCCCATTGCATTTTTATTAATCATAAAAATGTGCACTGCTTAATGAAAAATAAAATAATTAAAAAAAAAACAACTCAGATATATGGTTTTTGTGCCATGGCAAACACAGATCCAGTATTGAGGGTCCTGCAGGTCCAGGACTCAACTACGCCTTCTGGTGGCTCCAGAGCAGGGAAAAACTACACACACAAACACACACACAACACCCCAGATTCCTGACATAATTTCCTCCAAAAAAAAGGTTGTAGCTCTAAGAATCACCTCTCCCACTATTTTATTACATTTATTATTGTTATTGATAAATGATAACTTTAAGATGATTATATTGCACGTTTTGTAGTCATACCAACCACTGAAAGCACTTTACGCTACTTACGCAAAGCCATTGGTATCACTACACCAATAAGCGAATTGGTAGAAAGTTGGCTTGATGTGACTCACGTGGGAAATGAACTGTCAACTTCTGGATCGCAAGGCCATCACAAGTCAGCTACGTTTCCCACAGGACTTCCATAAATATTTTCATGTTCGATTCTTAAAAGTGACCTTCAGTTTATTTTTTTTTTAAAAGCCCAAAGGCACTTGTAAATAAAATGTATGATGATCACGCCTTACTTTCCATCTTCCCTGAATACCTTAATCTCCTTGACAATTTTGTTTTAAATTACGATTCATGTCATTGCATGAGCCTTTTGTTATTAAAGAGATTGATACTAGCCTCATCTTACTTCCACATATTTTACTGACCAGCTACATCATTTTTATAAATATAGAAAATTACAAATGATTCAAGTAAACACCATCTAATTTTTAATTTGCATTAAAAAATGTTTTATGTCGTTTTAACTTGTTACTTTAACACTTTCTTAGTCAACACCAATCACTACTTCACATGTGGCTGATGCTGAGTTTGAAACATTGTGACGTACATCCTTCAGAGCTGCAAGTCCCCAAGTTGAGATCCAGCGAGAGATAAAACCAACCCACTGACAAACACTTCAGTTTCCATCCAGCGAATGACGAGAACACAACATTCGTTTCACCGCCAACACTCAAGACAAACAGATTATGGACGAGCTGAATGTCAGCCACGTAACTCTGACCGGATACGTGGAGATGAGTAAATACAGATACCTTTATTTTTCTGTTTTGTTCACAGTCTATGTTTTGATCCTCTGCAGCAATGCTACCATTGTGTATCTCATCTGGACGCACAAAAACCTCCACGAGCCGATGTACATCTTCATCGCAGCGTTGCTGTTTAACTGTCTCCTCTACAGCACCACCGTCTATCCAAAGCTTCTGATCGACTTTCTTGTCTGAGACGCCCATCGTCACCGTGTCGAGTTGCCTTCTGCAGTTTTTCATGTTTTATTCTATCGGCGGCACAGAGTTCTGGCTGATAGCGTCCATGGCTTTCGATCGATACGTGTATATGTAAACCTCTGCGATATCCAGCCATCATGAGAAAAAGTACCGTTAAAGTGCTGCTCCTTCTGGCCTGGTTTGTGCCCGCCTGTCACATTGCACCAGAAGCAAGAGTGCTCAAACTCGGATATGTACCTCAGATTTGAACGGAGTGTTTTGCAATAACGCCGTGTTCACCTCCACTGCGCAAAACCAAGTTCACTTACTGTTTTAGGAGTCGCTTTGGTAGATCTGGTCATGCTCCCGATGATTTTTACAGTTTTTACGTACACAAAGATTTTCATAATGTCTTATCAAAGTGGAAAGTCATTCAGGAGGAAGGCTGCTGAGACCTGCGTGCCTCATCTCGTTTTGATCAGCTTCTCCTATTTGGCTGCGTATGATGTGGCCATAGCGCGAATGGAGACCGATTTCCCCAAACTGCACGCCTAATAATGACGATGCAAATATTTCTGTATCACCCTTTATTTAATCCATTTATCTATGGGTTAAAAATGAAAGAGATCTCTAAACATTTAAAACTGTTGTGTATGACAAGAGTATAACTGCAGATGTAATTATGTCACATTCTACAGCGATTGTCCAAAGCCTTAAATTGCTGGTTCAAAATTTATAATAATAACAAAGTTGTGTAATTGAAATTTATAAGAATTCACAGGACAAATAATGTATTTTTGAAATTTCTTACTGTTTCTGATGTTGATATATTTTATGTTGGAATTAGAGCAATTGCTTATTTATAGAAAAACACCCTTTGTAAGTATTTATCAGTTTAGTCTTTCAAGTTCAGTAATTTTCAGAATGGAAATAAAAGTGAGTAGGAAATAGTAATTTGTTGCTCGGGCCTGATAACAGACATATGTGATGGCAACATATTTCAGACTTTAAAATCCAACAGTAAGGAAGGTTTTTTCCAAAGTTAGTATTTGGCCAGTTTTATGTTGTGTTGATAAGACCTGGAGTAGAGACAAGTACATACTTTTGTATGCTTATGGTTTGGATCCATAAAGCGAGATATGTCCTGTTTTTTGTTTTTTTTGGGTGTGGAGTGGCATGTTCCTAGTGATCGGACACATAAAAGTGTATCATGTGTGGGACTCAGTTGAAAATCCTTCACTTCAGAATTTTAAGCAGTTTAATGGCGAGGGTGGCTGCGGAGTCTGCCTTGACTCTGGGATGTCAATAAGCAGAAGGGTTTGTGCGTGTCCGCATGAGAGACCAAGTGAGAGCAAAATCAAAAAAACGACAGTAAAAATTTGCTGACAAACAGCAGAGAGAGAAGGGGAAAGCATACTGGGCCTAAGGGTATTTTCAACGGTAGTAGTTTTTTCAGTCAAAACGTGATGAATTGGTTGATGTTGAAAATGGTGAACTGATCTTGTTGAGGGTGAAAACAGAGGCAGTATCAGACGGCTAGCTGGACGCTCCTTTGCTAAAAGCCAAAAGTTACACTTTGCAGGTGAACAAAGCTGTTTTTAAAGTTAGATTGCTTTATTTTGTATACTGTTTACTATATTTTAACAGTGGAATACTGTGGACTGGTTATTAGCATATTTGCAAATCAAAATGTATGGGTTTTCTTTTGGTCTATCTAGTTGATATTGATCATGTGAGAGCCACAGTGATGTCACTGTGTGAAGGCCGAGAGGCTCAAATTTTCTGTATACAAAATAACCTGCAGGATTGTGGACAGAGGCGCAACAAACCGATAAAAGGGATACAATAATTTATTTTAAAAACAACTAGTTAAAAAGGAAACATTTACTGAAGAAGGATCATTATACAAGTCCATATAAAGAAGTCTTAACTGGCCAACAACGGGGGAAAAAGAAGGGGCGCGGTCCTCTGCTGCTCACACGTCCAGCCCGGTCCAAACAATCCTCCAGTCCGCACGAACCTCAGTGAGCGCTAGCCCAACGGCTCCGTTCAGGGGAACACGGTCC